CTTTTGTCACCTCTTCCTGGATTCCTCCAGGTAAGGCCCCGGCCCGCTCCCGGGGCGGCGGGAAGGGATGTTTCACTTGCGCAGGGCGGCGGGAGAGCGAGGCGGTGGCCGGTGCCGGTGGCGCGCGGGGTGCCTTTGGGGAAGGAAGAGTCCAGCGACCCCGCTCTCCTCCCAGCACACGGAAGCGGAGGGGCCCCTGGTTTTGCCTCTGCGGGGACCACGCGGACTTTTCGGGTCTGTTTTCTTGGTAGCCATCGTGGCACGGGCTCGGGTTCCGTTTTCCGCGGGCCAGCGACCTCGCCAGTCCGGAGGACTCCGTGACCGACGGGAGGGAGGGCGCGTCCACGAGGAGCGCTCGGATGCTGGGCATTGGCGAGGGCCGGGGGGCTCCTGCGTCCTCAGGGCCCGGAGGAGAGCGTGTGACGACCCGGGGCGCGGGGCTGCGCGCGGGCCAGGTCTCGGAGCCCGGCTGCCAGCCTGCCCCGCGCCGGCCGCCTCGGAGGGGAGCGAGGGAAGCACGCCGGCCGCCTCTGCGTCCGTCACCCGGGCGAGAGCGCGAGGACATCTACCCAAGGATGTCCGCCGCGACCCCCTGTCCTTTCCCGCCCGGCCTGCGCGCTCGGGGAAATGCAACCGACCAGGGGGGGTGAAGTGGTTTTCCGAGGGCAAACAAAAGACCACGGCTGGCGTCGGACTGGGGTGGGGACTGCGCCAGCCACAGGTTTCCTTGCTTCACCCCCTTTCCCTTCCCCCCGACCCACCCCTATCCCGCGCCCCCCGCCACGAAAGGCTTTCAAACTCAAGGCTTTCAAACTCGCGGGGTTGCTGCTGAACGAAAGCGCGCCCTGCCCTCCCTCCCCCGCCCCATATCCGCCTCCTGGGGCGTTGGAGCCCTTAGCCACCATCCACTCTGTCCCCCCACCCAGCTTACTGGGCCCCGAGACCCCGCTCCCCAGCCGGGCTCCCCGCCCCTAAGCATGTGCTTGCCTAACTGTTGTGGAGAGAAGCTGCCGGGCTTATGGCCGCGAAAGGAATTTGGCCTGAACCGCTTCGCTGGGCGCCTGGTGTCTTTCGCGGGCTTCCAGGCGAAGGTGGTGCTACCCTGGGCCCCTTCTGCCTGGCTGCGCGGCAGGAACGCCGTGTTTTTTGTAACTCGTTTTCTCCAGTGGAAGTCGGACTGCCAACAATCGCTACTTTCTGAAAAGAATCTGCGACCACACACGTAGGAAGACTGAGCAAGCCCCCACGACGAGAAAGCCTTACTCGTTGGCATTTGGAAGGAAATGTGATATCCCGAGGGTGTGTGTGTGTGTATATATAGACATACACGCACACACACATAAATATTCTAGTATTGAACCAAATAGTATTTTAGTATTTAACCAAAGTGGGGAAAAGAAATCTATGGTTTGCAGAATCCGGGGCCCCGTGAGGCTGTAATATGTCACCTTGGTAGAAGAAACTGTGCAGCAACTCGTGCCTTTTCTGACGTCAGCAGGGCAACGGAAATAAAACCTGAGCTGGGTGGCTGGGTGGCCTCATTGTCAAACATCTCAGAGCGAGCAGGGTACTCCTTATCTGTGCGAAACAGTCAGGTCCCTGCTCGGATCTGCCGGGGGCCCTTGGATTTGGGAAGCCCAGAATTCAAAATGAGTTTGGTCTTGAGTCAGTCCCATCTTGCTATGTCGCCTTAGGCATCTGGAAAACATACGGGTTGGCTTGATGTCTTAACTGTGAGGCAATTGATTTGCCTGTTTTTCCTCCCCGAGATTCAATACATGTTTCAGGCAGCAACCAACAAGGTAAAGTTCTTGCTTCTCTGAAGCGACCCCCCCCCCTTTCGTCTTCATGTGGGAGAAACAGACCCTAGATTCATGTATAAATAAAACAAATTTCAAGTTTTGTTGAATGCTATGAAAAAAGAAAACTAGATCATGTTAGGGAGGAGGGCTCTTGAAATCGAGTGACCTGCTGGAGGGTCTGGGGGAAGATAGGTGTGCTGAGGGCTGAAGGATGAGGCGGTCTCATCAATTTGGTTCATTAGGGGAGCACACAGGCAAGAAAGGATGGCAAGTGCTTAAAGACCCTTACTTTACTGCACTCTGCTTGACTGGTATTAGATGGAACGAATTGAATAATAAAGGGTTTTTGAGTTCTTTGAAGATATGTTGCTTTTGTATATTTTGTCGACTACTCTTCAAAGGAAGGTAGCCCTGAGAAAGGAGCTTTGGTGGAGCAGGTTAGGAGCTCAGCTGCTAACTCAAAGGTTGGCAGTTTGAACTCCCCAGTCGGCTCCTGCAAAGAGCACAGCTTTGAAAACTATGGGGCAGCTCCATTGTGCCCAAAAGGGTAGCTATGGGTTGGAATCAACTCAAGCCCTGAGAAGCCACGCGTCTGCTTTTGCTGGTCTTGCCTTTGCCTTCCCTCTGGGTGGTACTTGAAGGCAAAACCTAATCTTACTCTGGTTCTTCCACTGCTCAGCACAGGAGCCCTGGTGGTGAACCCTCTGGGATGCAAACCACTGGTGGGCAGTTCGAAACAATCAACAGCTCCGAGGGAGAAAGACTGGGCTTTCTACTCCCATAAGCAATGACAGTCTTGGGAACCCACAAGGGGTCACTATGAGTCACCAGTGACTCAATGGCAGTGAGCTTGCTTTTTTGAGTCATGCCCTGGTGGCATGGTGGATTGCCAGTTCCGCTGTTAACCCTGAGGCCAGCAGTTTGAAACCACCAGCTCCTACTCCACTGGAGAAAGATGAGGCTTTGTCCTCCCATAGCAATGGACAGCTTCGGAAGCCCACAGAAGCAGTTCTCTGTTCTGTAGCGATGCTATGAGTTGGAATCAATTTGATGGCAGTGAGTTTGGCTAATGGGTATTGGATTGAACTATGAGACTTTGGCCAAGCCATCTAATACATCTTTCTATTATATGTTAGCCCTCACTCCCTATTATCTTTGATGAGCTCTTCCTTGACTCTTCAATTTGAAACAGAGTCATTTTCTTCCTGCTTCTCTTGTTCTGGGCAGTTGTAGGGTCCTTCCAAATGCCCCTCAAACACCTTCCCTTCTCTGTTCCCACTGTCTGTCTCCTGACTTAGATGTGGCGTTACAAATAGTATATCCAAATACAAGAATCAAAAATCAGGCATGGTTGCTAGTCCCTTTAAGAAACTAGCAGAGAGGAAGATGTAAGAGCAACATGTGAGTAGAGTGAAGTAACGGATTCATGAGATGCAGCAACTTTCCAAGGAGCTGCAGTAGCACAGTGGTTATGGGCTCAGCTGCTAGCGGGAAGGTTCAGTGGTTCATGCCCACTACTGGCTCTGTGGGCGAAAGATATGGCAGGCAGTCTTCCTCTGGAAGCCCTGTGGGGCTGTTCTCTGTCCTAGGGGATTGCTATGCGTTGCTTCGACCCAGTGGCAGTGGGTTTGGAGTTTGAGGCACAACTTTCCAACTAGTCAAATTGATAAGCTCTGCTCACCCCATTCAATCTCACTAACGCCACGGAATTTATATTTCTAAAAGTCAGTCCCCCTTGTTTCTAAAGCCTCTAGTGGGTTCTCACGGTCTCCAGATAAATTCCAAATGCCTTAGGTTCACTGCCCAGGAGCTCCACCATCTGGTTTCTAACCCCAGGCCATTTTTCCTTGGCATGCTTCCTTTCCTCTCCCAGGTCGTCCTGTACTCTGCCTGTCACCTGTCTTTCTTAGTATGCTTGCTCCTTCGACTGGAGCATCCGTGAAGACCTACCTCAGATGCCACTCTGCCATCTCTTCCAATAAGCACACTGATCGCCTCGTTGGCACTCCCGGCGGATGGATCTGTCTTCGAGTTTGCACTGTTGTCGCTGTGGGTGGTACAAGGTGGGGGGGCTGAGCACTCAGGCTGTGACCCCAAACCAAACTCGCTGCTGTCAAGTGGGTTACGACTCATGAACGGTAAATACTAGGGCTTCCTCTTTTTTTAGCAGAGGTATTTTGGACAAGGTGCTTAACATCTCTAATTTGTTTTTGAATTTGTTAAATGGGAATGATGTTAATGAAGGTGGTGGTAGTACCCATCTTATTGAGTTATTCTTAAGATTTCACTAGATAATGGATGCAGAGTGCTTGGTTCAATGTTGCCTGTCCAAACCGACTGCCATGAGTGGATTTCAGTGACTATATAGGGTTTGGGAGGCTAAATTTTCATGGGTGCAGACAGCCTTAGCTTTCTCCTGCTGGATAGCTGGTAGATGTGAACCCCTGACCTTGAGGTTGGCCGTCCAACACTTAGCCAACAGCACACATTCCCAGAGCCCCTGCCTGTACTGTTTTCCTTGCTCTTTAGAAGAGACTTCTGGTTTCTCACTTGTCAGAGGCGTTGAGGGGAAAGTGCCTCTTCCTTCTGAAATTCGATGAGTATTCAGTCTTTTAAAACAATCCCTCTGAAAATATCAGCTCAGTGAAAGCCCCTCAGTCTCGTTGAGAATACGTGTCTGTGACATGGAGGTGGGGTGCAAGGAAGTACATCCCAAACTGCACCATCAGCTTCAGAGAAAGGCAACCCGAAGCAGCAACCAATGTTTTCCGTCATATTCTTGATTTTCCTTTCTTTTCCAGTGCGAACCTCTAGGCCAGGGTTAGTTGCAAGCAGTAGAGGAGCTAAATGATGGGGCAGGCTACCTGGTGGAGGAAGGTAACACTGGGCTTACATCCAAGAAACGGTCCCTCTAGTGAGGTTTTAATGTGTCTTTGCCAGTAACCACCAGGGTGCCCTTGGGCAACTGACTTCACTTTTTTATGCCTCTTTTTCTCATCTGTCCTATGCTAATAATAGTATCCAAGCAGCCTAGCTCATGAAGTTGTCAAGATAAAATGAGCATTTTAAACCAAACACATTGCCATTAAGCGGTCCAGATGCACAGTGACCATATAAGTCAGAGTAGATCTGCCCTGTAGGATAAATCTTTATGGAAGCAAATTGTCGTAACTTTTTTCCATAGGAGTTGGAACCTCTGAACCTTTTGGTTACAAAGCCAAGCCCTTA